TGGAGCTCGCCGTGGCCCCAGGGTCAGGCACAAACTGACTATTTGAAGGAAAAACAAACAGAGAGTGTCTCTCAACAGCTTGAGAAAGGCAGAAACGAAGAGGCCGGGTTTATTTGTCTTAGGAAGAATTTGCAGTTAATTCCCTCCAGACTATTTAGACCCTTAAATTACATGGAATAAGAAAAACCATGGGTGCAGGGGAAGGAGCCAGGAACACTTGATCATTTGGCTGAGAGCAGAGTTTCTAAATGTCTTTGGCCTGAAGTCAGCCAAGTAGATGGTATGTGTGAAATAATTTAATGGCAGAAAATGGTGCAGCAGTCACTTTTTCTCACTGTAATGTAATGAGAGAGACAGCCTGGCCCGTCTCCCCTATCTGAGTCCGTTTATCTTTCCCCGGACTCAGCCCCTCACGGTAGCCCCTAAAGAGCCCAGGTCAATGGAGGTGGTTTCAGGCTTTATTTTCAATCCCAGAACTTTGACTGAACAAAAGGAAACTTCGGGCACAGCCCTGATTGGAACAGACCTGGCCCCAGTGCTCGCTGGCCCGAGGCTTCAAGAGTATTTATTTATTTTCCAAATGCCTGAAGCTCAAGCGTGGAACCCCCAGAGGACACACGCCCACCACATCCACTTCTCAGGGGGCGATTCAGGAACTCGTGGTAATGAACATCCGGCACATCCACTGGGAAGCAAAGTGCAGCCTGAGTGTGAGCCCTGGCTGAGGCCAAAGCTGTGGGTTCAAGTCCTGGGTCCCCTCCAAGACGCCTCCTAAATCTTCCACATCCTCAACGGCCTCTCCTCAGCCTGTGCCCGCAGCTGGGATTGGAAGCAGCTTTCTGCTGGGGGCTGGCCTGAAGGAGAAAGATCCTTGTTTTTGAGGGGTCGGTGGGGGGGGGGGCGGGGGGGGGAGTGGGTAAGGACAGGAACTTCCCTGGAGGCCCAGTGATTAAGACTCTGCGCTTCCAATGCAGGGGGCGCAGTTTCGATCCCTGGTCTGAAAATGAAGATCCCATGTGGTGTGCAGCACAGCCAAAACCAACGTTGAGCGCAGTGAGCATTTACGGAGCGATGACTGCGCTCCTGGCGTTCCCTTAAACTCAGCTCCTCCAGGAACTCTGTGTGACCCTGGGCAAGCCACGGTCCTGCAGGACTCCCAGAAGTGAGGTCTTCCCCCCTGGGGGGCTAGGATGGAGTCTCGAGGACATTTCCACAGTGGTAGGATGACGTGATCCATGATGTCTCCCAGAGCTGGGACCGAGAGTGTGACCCCCCCCGGCACTGGCATCACCTTCCCTGGGAACCAGGAAGATGAGGGAAGATGACCCAGCAGAGACAAACTCACCCTGGGCTGCCTGAGTCTCCCCCCAGGCATGTCCCAGCTATGTGATCTTGGGTCAACCTCTGAGAGCCTCAGTTTCCCAGTGTGTGAAATGGGATAACACCTCGTAGGGGTCCAGTGGATGGGAGTGTATGCAACACTGGCCGCTGTTCCTGCCCAAACCCACCGTTGTTGAGCGCATTCCACCACAGCTGCCGTCATGGAGAGAAGTGACTCCAGACCAGCTGGGGTGAGGGGTGTGAGTCGGGTTGCTGGAGAAGGGGGTGTAAATCCCTTGCCTGAGGGTTTCGGCTCCAAGGCTCCAGCAGTTTAGCCAAAGAGCAGAGTTGTTTCTTCCGGCACCCCCTTGGCGGGGGCCAAGGCTGCAAAATGGTTTTCATTTCAACACCCTCCGTTTTGAATTGCTCAGAAATTTCCCAAAAAAGTCTCCTTTTTTGGCTGAAAGGCCTCCTGCGTTGGGTTTGTGCCCAAGCAGCATTGCCTAAAGGGGAGGCGGAAATCGGCTCACGATGGCTGGTGTTCCGGAAGCTTCCGTCCGCTCTCTGGGGTCTTGATCACACAGGTTTTCAGCGCTCAACCCTTGATATTTCGGGGTAAGGTTTCTTCCCACTTGAGGGGGTGAGGGGCGGGGGTGGAGAGACATTCACAGCCACCAGACATTCTCATCCATCTTCACCTTTTCTTGGAGGAAAGGGGTGAGGAGTGAAGATTGAAGCGGGTCCAGGAGACGAGGCCAGCTCGCTCCGTGTTCCCTGCCACCGCCTACCCCATTCCCACATGTGTCCTGTGTTTTTAGTACTTCCCAAAGGGGAAAAGTACTGGACTTCAGTTCCTGGTCCTCCCTCCAAACCAGGGCCTCTCTCCCTCAGCGCTGTGCACATGGTGAACCAAAGAATTCCCTGATCCAGGGTCTGTTCTGGGCACTGAAGGGTACTTAGCAGCAGTCCCAGTCTCTACCTCCATCCTAGGAGCACCATCTGCCTCAGTCCTGACCATCAAAAATGTCTCCAGACATTGCCAGATGTCCCCTGGAGGCTAAATTGCCCTCAATTGGGAACCACCAGTCCAAACCTAGTAAGGTCATCTTTTCCCGGGAAACCCTGCCTGATTCCTACTTGACAACTCCCCTCCCACCACCCCCACCCCATGCAGCCATTCCCGGACTCATGAGACAGTTTGCCCTCCAATCCAATCAGCTGGTTGCTCAAGAGTCGGTAAACTCTGCGAACGTGGAAGCGTTCAAAAGCCAGGATTGAATGGTATCTGTGGCCGGGCCTGGAATGTTCTCAGTGCTAAGCTGAACAACTCAGCATCGTGTGAAGAACGTAGGATGTGATCAAACCAGTCTGTCCTAAAGGAAATCAATCCTGAATATTCACTGGAGGGACTGATGCTGAAGCTGAAGCTCCAATACCTCGGCCACCTCATGCGAAAAGCTGACTCATTGGAAAAGACCCTGTTGCTGGGAAAGATTGAGGGCAGGAGGAGAAGGGGATGACAGAGGGCCAGATGGTTGGGTGGCATCACCGACTCGATGGATGTGAATTTGAGCAAGCTCCTGGGGATGGTAAAGGATAGACAGAGAAGCCTGGCATGCTGCAGTCCATGGGGTCACAGAATTGGACACAACTGAGTGACTGAACAACAACATAAAGGGAATATGTAACTGGGGAAGCAAAAATACAAGGTGTGTCCCCAAATCCAGAAGGTTATCCACATCCTCTGTTGACCCAACTGGGAGCAAAACTGGCCTTCCTGTCCACTGCTGCTGGGAACCCTGGATGGAGGCCTTGGCTATAGCTAGCATTTTACTCATTGGCCCAACAATCCCAATTCTAGGAATCTGTCCCAAATATTCACTGGCAAAAATAGAAAATCATGTTTGCACGAGGTTATTCACTGTGGTATTCTGAGTTGCAAAAGATTGGAAACACACCACCTGCCAATCGATAGGGCTCTGGTTTTAGTTGAAGAAACCATAGTTTAGGGGTTTCCCTGGTGGTCCAGTGGTGAAGACTCTGCACTCCGAATGCAGAGGGGGCCTGGGTTTGATTCTGGGTCTGGAAACTAGATCCCGCATGCCACAACGGAAAGATCCTGCACAGCCGAATAAGTAAATAAAGGAAATATTTTTAAAAACATAGTATGTTTGCACAACTGAGTGGTAGGGGGCTGCATGCAGGACTTTCTGAACTGGGTGGAGAAACCCCTAGGACGTATTGCTCAGTGGGAACAAAGAGAGGGGCCCAGCAGTTCGTAGTCTGCTAGCCTCCAATAGAAGAGCGGGAGAAAATACTAGACTTGAAAAAAATTGCAGAAAGCAATGCTGAAAGGATAAAGCAAAGACAAATTTTAAAGTGGTTCTGACAGGTGAAAGGTGGGATAGTGAAAGTGGTAAAGTCACTCAAAGGCAACCACTAAAAGGAACGAAATAGGGTCATTTGTAGAGTCATGCTTGTAAATTATTTTAAATTCACATTTGTAGTTTTGTAAAGCGTGGGGAGTAGAGTCAAGAGAAGGGAGTCATTACTTTTACTTTGTCCTTTTCTGTGTTGTCTGAATCTGTTACTGTGACAGTGATGTTACTTGGTTATTAGAATATACTTTGTTTTAACATGAAATCTCCAAATTCTTTAATTTGATGAAGTATTCTTCTTTTTTTTTTAAAGTACAGTGGATTTACAATGTGTTAATTTCTGGTGTACAGCAAGGTGATTCACTTATACCTATACATATTCTTCTTTATATTCTTTTCCCATTATGCTTAATTATAGGGTATTGAATATTGTTCCCTGTGCTATACAGTAGGAGCTTGTTGCTTATCCATAAAATGCACATTTTTAATAAGAAAATAAGATACACAAGGAAGTACTGAACCACAACAAGGTTGGTTCTAAGTGCCCAGTGAATGCAATGGAGGAGAGAGAATTCCGTGTGCACTCAGGTGATCAGGGAGGGCTCCCTGGAGGAGTGAGCAATGAGCTGGGCTCTTCAGGATGAAGGGTCAGCAGTTTAACCCCTGGGTAAAATTGAAATGTGGAAACAGTAGGTGAACTCCCCCCAACTCCCCGTCCTCTGTAGATGGGGCATGAGGAGGCGAATAGCACCTGCCTCAGTTTTTGTGAGCATCCACTGGTCTGTGGGTGTTAAAAAGCCTACCTGTGTGCAGCGGACTCTCAGAACTGTGACTTTCACTGTGCCTTTTTATATATTACTATAATTCAACAACAAATGCCCATGGCGGTTGACCATATCTCAGGGCCTAAGTCAGCTTCTGAGGACAGGTAGATGCCTCTGGCCCTCCCTGCCCAGGTCAGTTGTCCCCTCATGGCAGCAAGTGCCTGTCCCCTGGCTCCCCGGGGGGGGGGGGGGGGAGGGGGGGGGACCCTGGCCACTTTGGTTCGCATTTATATCCCCAGGGCCCTAGCCCTGTGCCTGCCACTTCGGAGGCGCTCAGTAAGTGTGTTGTAGAATGAATGGATGGATGGATGAAGAAATTGAGAAAGGAGTGAATTAAAGGGTCCTGCTCTCAGGGCTGGACCATCCACCCGCAGTGGGAAGACACAGGTTAAAGCGCTCGGCGCACGTTGCTGAGCTGGTGCCTGAGTCACGACCGTGCCCGGCCTGGCCTCGCGCTGACCCTTGGGTCCCTCCGCAGGTGAGTGCCCCAGTCCCGGGCGCAGCAGCGCCGCCAAGCGGAAGAAGAAGCAGCGGCGGAACCGCACCACGTTCAACAGCAGCCAGCTGCAGGCGCTGGAGCGCGTGTTCGAGCGCACGCACTACCCCGACGCTTTCGTGCGGGAGGAGCTGGCCCGGCGGGTCAACCTCAGCGAGGCGCGCGTCCAGGTGAGCGCTGCGCGCCCGTGGGCTCCTCGCAGGAGCGTGTGCAGCCACCACACACCCAGGGTTAAGGAACTGCCGAGGCGTGCGGGGGCGTCTGAGGCCGGGAGGGCTGAGGGTCCAATCCGAGCCCTGCCTCTGGCAGCTGTGTGAGCTTGAGCAAGTTACCTAACCTCTCTGTGCCATAGGTGGTGGTGGAGGTTTAGTCGCTCAGTCGTGTGCGACTCTTGCGACCCCATGGACTGCAGCCCGCCAGGCTTCTCTGTCCACGGGATTCTCCAGGCAAGAATACTGGAGTCGGTTTCCAATCCTTCTCCAGGGGATCTTCCCAGCCCAGGAATCGAACCCAACCGGGGTCTCCTGCACTGCAGGCAGATGAGCTAAATGGGAAGCCCGTGGGGTGGCTTCTCTGTAAAATGAGGACCGCGTGGGTCTATTTCAGAGCATTCTCATGAGAAAGAAAAGTTATTTTTGTAGCTTAGCTCAGTGCCTGGCGCAGAGGGTTTTGATAAATAAAAGTCGTTTTAAAGTGTCCAGGGCTTGCTCCGTGCCAGCCCTGAGCAGAGTGCCCAGCATACACCTCTCTTCACTACAACCTCCCAGCAGCTAAATGCTCATCGGTTCATGCCTTCATTCCCCCACGTGCACGTTCTCCAACACACACTGACCCAGCGGCAGGCACTATATCACCCCCCATTTTACAGATGGGAAAACTGAGGCTCAGGGAGGTGAAGCCGCCAGTGTAGGGTGGGTGACAGAGCAAGCACACAGTGGGTCCAAAAGGACTTGGGTGTCCCTGGCAGCCCGCTCACGGCTCCTTGCCACCCCCAGGTCTGGTTTCAGAACCGCCGGGCCAAGTTCCGCAGAAACGAGCGGGCCATGCTGGCTAACCGCTCGGCCTCGCTGCTCAAGTCCTACAGTCAGGAGGCCGCCATCGAGCAGCCGGTGGCTCCCCGGCCCACCACGCTGAGCCCGGACTATCTCTCCTGGACAGCCTCGTCCCCCTACAGGTGAGAGTGGGAACTGCTTCGGGTCGGGGTTGGGGGGCAGGCAGCGGCCCGGAGACCCCATAGGGTGTTTTAGGATCCAGATTCCTTGGAGGCTCTGGAGAGAACTGTGAAAGGGGCCCAGGCCCTCTGTGGACTGGGGGTGTGTGGGCAGGCGTGTGACTGTGTGCATGGAGGAGGTTGTAAGAGTGTGTGTGTGTGTGTGTGTGTGTGTGTGTGTGTGTGTGTGTGTGTGTGCACGTGCACACGTGTACCTGTAAATGTGTGGACTGGCAAGATGAGACCTGTCTGGAGGGAGTGGAGAATCCAAGTCACCCTGAGAGAGCTGAACAGCTGCCAATTTCTGGGATGTCCCTGGTGGTCCAGTGGCTAAGTCTCTGCACTCTCAATGCCAGGGGCCCGGGTTCCATCCCTGGTCAGGGAACTAGATCCCACAACTTCAGCGGAACTGTAACAGCCACAACTAAAAGAGCCCGCCTGCCACAACAAAGACCCAGTGCAGCCAAATAAATTACTAAATAAATATTTTTTAAAAATAAAAAAGAAAGAAAAAACAGCTTTCTAGGCTGGCCCGAGTGCCTCAACACCTCTTGTCGGTCATCCCAGAGAGAGGCTGGGAGGGGCCTCAAGGACGGTTCCCAGTCCTGGGGACCTGGCTGAGACCCAGAGGTGAGGTCTGGGGCAATTTTGTCCTGGTTAAAGCCGGAAAAGGTGGCAGGGCAGGATGGGAGAGGGAGGGGGTGCTGGGGAGTTGGGGTTTTGCACCCCACAACTCCTGGGGGTGCTGTCCACCCCTTAGTCTGTGTGAGCAGCTCTGCTGGAGCCCTGGTCTCAGGATATCCAGTGGGTCAGCTCATGGGATCTGAGTCCTGGAGATGCCCATGCTAGACCCACAGCCCTCCCACCCCCTCCCTGCCCTCTCCTTAGCTGGGGCAGAAGAACCATCAAGAGGTATCTCCATACAGGTGTGTGTTCATCCCACCCCCATCCTGCTGTGTGTCAGGCACCAGGTGGGCGCTGGGGGGGGGGGGTGGACAGGATGCAGGAAGCTCCTGGTCCAGTGAGGAATGACCTCAAACCTGCAGGGGTGGCTCCAGGTCCCAGCGCCGACCATGGGCCCTTCTGCCTCCGCCCTAAATCTTGCGGCCGCAGGTCACCTCCAGCCCCTGGGGAAGGCTGCCCACCAGCTGAGGAGGGGAGGCAGGAGGACCAGAGGCTGGGGCCCAGGACGGACAGCCGGGGGTGGTCAGCTCCGGGCAGCACCAACATGTCCTTGGGTCTTGTGTCACCCCCAGCACGGTGCCGCCCTACAGCCCTGGAGGCTCAGGCCCCGCGACCCCGGGGGTCAACATGGCCAACAGCATCGCCAGTCTCCGTCTCAAGGCCAAGGAGTTCAGCCTGCATCACAGCCAGGTGCCCACCGTGAACTGACAGCCAGCTCCGCCAGGATCCCAGTGCCTCCCTGGTCTGACGACAACAGAAAAGAGGGCAGACATGCGGGAAAGTGACCTTCTCCTGCCCCCTGTCTCCCGGACAGGCTGGCTGGGCTCTCCTGGCCCTTCTCTGCAGCCCAGACTCCTGGGCCCAAGAGGCTGCTGAGACGCCTGGAGCCTGGCTCAGCCCCTCATCCCTGGCCACTGGAGACTTCGGCCCCTGATCCTTGGAGGGGTTGGGCCAGAAGGTGGAATAGCAGCTCACCGAGGACCTCACTTACTTGGTGTATGAAAGCCAAAAAGCTGTTGTCTGTAAGAAATAAAAAAAGAATAAATTGTTTAAGCCCCCAAAGGTTGCGGGGAGGGCGGACAGGACAGCAAACCAATGAGGGGCCACTTTGGGGGGCCAGCTGCCCTCATCTGGGTCCCTCGTTCTGCAAAAGTCCCCCATCACCCTGCAGACCCCAGGGGCGGGGAGTGGGGTTGGAGGACAGAGACCTGCCCCGGAGCCCCTGACACCCAGGTGTTTGGGAGAAACACTGCTGCGTGACTCTGGGCAGGATCCCAGCCCTCTCTGGGCAGGGAGTGTCTCCCCTACCCTATGGCAGGGGCAGCGTGGGTGTGGGGGGCAAAGGCTGGAGTTAAAGCCCTCACTGCTGGACATGCAGGAGATGTGGGTCCCCCTGGGCCTTTGGCTGTGGAGGGGCCTGGGCAAATGGCCCAGACAGTGGGCGTGCAGAGTGGAGGCCCCAGGTGGGCTCACAGGACAGAGTGGTCCTAACAGCCAAGACCACCAGAGCCCTTCTCCCAAGTTCTCCAGGATGCCCTTTCCCAGATGGTTACTGGGGGTGACAGAGGACATGGGTGCCAGCAGCCACTTAGCAGTCTGCAGAAAATTGTGTAGTGAGGGGAGTGGTCTGAAGCCAGCCCTTTCCATCTGGCCCCAGGCCCCCCCTCCTGATGGGCATAGCCTCCAGAGAGGTTAAGAGGTCATTTCTGCAACCAGCCCCCAGGAAGTGAGACCACACCTCCCAGGGGAATTCCCTGGGGGTCCAGTGGTTAGAGCTTCCCAGGTGGCGCTAGTGGTAAGGTTCTCTCCCACCTTGCAATGCAGGAGACATAAGAGACATGGATTCGATCTCTGGGTTGGGAAGGTCCCCTGGAAGCAGGCATGGCAACCCACCTCCACTATTCTAAGAGTAGGACACGACTGAAGTGACTTAGCATGCATGCCCGCCAGTGGTTAGAACTAAGTGCTTTCACTGCTGTCTCCCAGATTCAATCCCTGACTGGGGAACCAGATCCTACAAGCCACGTGGCATAGCCAAAAAAATAGAAAAACAAAAAACACACTTCCCGACCCTGAGATGACCCAGAAGTGCTCAGCCCCTCATCACACTGCTGGACTCCACGAGTGGACCCCTCTTCTCCAGTCTGCCCTGCCCACACGGTATCAAAGTGCCCCAAAAGGGCCAGCATCCTCGCCACAGGCTGCATCTTCCACGTGACCTTAAACAGGTCAAAGCCACATGGCAATCCTAACATAAGAAACGGTTTCTGTTTTTGTTTTAGAAGGTGTGACTGTCCCCGAGTGAGGTGAGGACCTTCCCCATCTCCCCCAAGTCACCCCCAGAGATTCTTCCCCATCTTCCACTGGGAATTCCACCATGAAAACACAGTTCCTGTGGGGCGGGTGTCACCTTCTTCAGAACTGCCAAAGGCCACCGGGACCATCGCCGTGTGACTGTGATGGGAGGTTGGGGCTCTGCTCCACAGAGGGGGGGCACCAGTGAGGGGAGGCACTGGCTCTGGCTGAAGGCGTAGGGAGGGTTATTCTGCTGATGTCTGCAGCTGGCTCTGCCCACCTGACTACAGGGTCCAGAGCAAGGAGAGACCAGTGCCCTGACCATGTGTGTGTGACGGGGGACAGGGATGGGGGTGAGGGGGCGACAGTCAGAGCTGTGTCTTCTTGCTCAGTTTGGCCTCTGCCTTGGGCAAGTGATTTCTGTGCCTCCATTTGCCATTCATAAACTGAACAAATATAAAACTCTTGAAGTGTGCAGGGCCCTGAGCAGATAGCAGAGAACTGACATGGGGTCCCTGGCTACAGAGGCCATCTCAATCACAGGGAGCCCCAAGTTTCGTTTAAGGCATCCAGGCAGGCTTCCTGGAAGAGGTGTCCTGGAAAGATGAAGAGGGGAGGGAGAACAGTGTTTCTGGCTAGGGGAACAGCATGTGTAAAGGCCCTGCGGTAGGCCAGAAGCAGTCTCTTTGGGCCAGTGGGGGACAGTTCTGGGTCTAGATCTCATGCAGGATGAAGACGGACAGAAGCAGGGACCAGTTCACGCGGGGTTTGTGTGGCCAGATCTGAAGTGCGGATGTCATCCTGGCAGGAGTGATGGAGGGGATTTGCTTCGTGGAGGGACCCCCCTCCTCACCTTGGACTCTGTGTGGAGGCAGAGAGACCCCTGCAGAGGCTGTCCAGGCAGGAGGACAGCAGCCTGGACCAGATGAGGACAGAGTGGGCGATCCAGGAGGCGCCCAGGACCCAGCAGAGACAGAGGTTGATGACTAGCTGTTGGACTCGGGAGGCCAGGGGGCCAGGATGTGGTTTAAACACAGGGATGCGCCCGGGAGGAAGAGACCCTGGAAACAGGACTCACCTGGTAGAGGTGGCGGGAAGAAGCCGGCCATCTTCTTCTTCCACCTCCTGGCCACTGAAGGGCTCATCAGTGCCCTTCCCCCCCGGACGAGCGCTGGGGCCATCCTGGTCTGAGCAAGGTCCTCCCTCACAAGGAGCTTACCGCTCCCCTGCCCACCCTGGGTATTTGCACCAGCCAAGAGCCAGTGCACAGGGTCCAGAGCTGTGCCCTCATGGGCAACCAAGAAAAATGGTCTCTTTCCTCCCAGAAGCACTGGACTGGTCGTGAGCAAGTGGACGAGCCCGCCCAGGTTCTGGGCAGCACTCCGGAGTTCAGACAGAGGCACATCTGGTCTTTCTATTTTCAGTACAAAGGGAGCGGCCATGAAGCATCGCCAGGTTGGGGCTGCCTGCAGCAGAGATGGGCTCCCACCGGGCGGGGGGCTCCCACTGGGCGAGGGGCTCCCACTAGGGCCTGGAAAGGCGGGTCCTGAGACCAGGTTCAGAGAGAGAGCCGTGGGCCCGGTTCCCACAAAGGCGCTGGCCCTGCCATCAGGCCGCAAGGATGTCAATGTCACTTCCTCCCCAGCACTCTAGAAAAAACAAACTGGCTTAATCGTTTACACATGCAGCTCTGGGGAGCTCAGGGAGGGAGCACCGGGGCCCTCCTTGTGAAAGAAAATATATTCCAACATTGCTGTCGCTATTGTAGCCCTAATTACAGGGCTTGCGTGGGCAGCCCCCTGGGCAACCATCCAGGGATATAATTTTTCCATGAGGATAAGGTACACGAGGCCCCCGTCCCAGGCTGGGAGACTTTGGAATCCTCCTCCCTCCGCCTCCCCTTTGCCCATTTGGCCAAGCAGGCTTTGGACGGGGCATGGTGTGCCTTGGCTTCTGTTTCTGTTTGAAAGATGGGAACTTGAGAGAAAGAAGGAGAGATGGAAGGAAAGGCAACCTCTGGCTCTTCTTGCCAAACCCAAAACCTGAGAAATAAAGACCAGAGTTTTACCTTAGGCAAGGCACATCTCCAGGCCTCAGTTCCCCTCCTCTGTGAAATGGGGGTGATGACAGAAGCCACCTCTCAGGGTTGTTGGCATAGAGTGACCCTCCATCAACAAGCGCTTTCGTGGTTTTGGTGGAAAAATACAGTGAGGGGTGGAGTTTGAGGAATGCAACATACTCCCCATTCTGGAGTAAAATTGGCTTTCCTTGCCCAGAGAGTCTGGCTCTCCCCTTTGCCCCATGTAAGCACACACTCCGTGGGCATAGCTGGGGTCGGGGGGCGGGTATCAAAGCAACATGGCACCCCCAGCTTCTGCACTTTTGCTTCTGGCCCCTGGAGGGCGCTGTGGGGAGCTCTGTGTCTGTTCTCCAGCCAGACACAGAGCTGGGAGAACCAGGGCTCTCTCCCACACAGATGGCCAGAGCCGGCCCAGGCTCCTGACCTGAAGACAAACTAACAAGCAAGTCCCAAATCACCAGCAGGGGTCCCTGTATAAACATCAACACAAGCATTTTGGAAAATGTACCGACAGCCTCAAAAAGGCTTGCATACTTTCACCCAGTTATTCCTTCTCTAAGGCCGACGTCAAAAAGTAATCCAAAATAAGGGGGAGGGGCCGGGGAGAGGGTAGCAATGTGTGCCAAGATGTTTGTCATACATTTTCATGCAATGTAAAAAATCTGGGAAGACCCAAACCAGAATGTAAATGCTTTATAATGGCTCACAATCCACTTGTCTCCATGTTCTCTGCAATGAGATTAATAACCTCACAGGGAAACAAGACAAGCAGGCCAATGTGATCGTCCCAGCTATATAAGTAGCTCTTTGAAGTAGGAGAAAAAAAGTGCTTTCTTCCCTTTTATGTCCCTTTCATGGTGCCTCAGTTCAGAGATGGACTTGTCTTTTCAGTGACTATTGATGAGTGAGTAGCCCCCATCTGAAGCTCTCCCCTTCACTCCTGTTACCCCACTGGGAGTCCTCCAGGTCTTGAAGCTTGTGATTATCAAGAATTCCCTTCTCTATTGAAAGTGCTGGAAAGAGTGAATTGAGAGCTTCTTAACATTTAGCTCACATCTTAGAAGACGTGGGAATGGATTGAACTTGGGAATATGAGGGGTCAGGAGTGGGCCCCTTGAACTCAGAAGGTGCCCTTGAAAAAGTAGTGTGGATGGCATAATTCTAGGATGGCCCCATGATTCCCACCCCAGGCAGACACACTTTTCATCATACCCTGTCCTTGGGTAGGGGTGGAATCTCTGACTTTATGTGATTAAGGTGCCTACTCAGTTGACTTTGATCAAAAGGGGGATTGTCCTGGGTGGGCCTGGCCTAATCAGGTAAGCCCTTTAAA